AATGTATCTTTCTTATTACATCATCATAGGTAAGTGGGCCAAAAGGGGCATCATGATATAACCAAAGTAAACATGAGGGAATACCTAACATAGAATGACCTAACCTGATATAGAAACTCATACCTATGACATACGAGCCTATAAGGCCAATGTGAACCATTATATACTTAACATATAGGCCAACAAGGCCATACAAGTATCTGTACACATGACATCTGTCTACAAGCCTCTAAGAGTACATACTTATCATAAAGGTCGGGATTGGACCCCGCCATACCAAGCAATACACGTCTAAATCATACCGACCAAACAAGCAACTCCGTAGTAAATGGAATGCACCAACATCTTCTGCTGAGCTGATAGCCTACTTGGAGGACTCTCGACCTATCTATCGGGACCTGCGGGCATGAAACGTAGCGTCACCAAGCAAAAGGGACGTTAGTACAAATAATGTACCGAGTATGTAAGGAATAAAAATCAGTAAATAATAGACAATAGACATGAGAGAAACATGGAGTAAAAGACTCAACATGTAAGTCTGGATAACTCTATAAATCATATAATACTTATAGTGTCATGCATATGCATATGAATGTCATGTTGTGCATAGGTACATGTGTTCATAACATCATCAAGCCTTCGAGGGCATCCCATCATATCATCTCGGCCATTGTGGGAAACATCATCAATGTATACCAGCTGATTAGGTGGTGGTGCGTATATAACGTCGTAACCTTTTCCCATATCCCATATACNATGCATGAGAAGTACGTCAATAAAAACTCTCAAAACTTCATAAGACAATTATACCTCTAATTAATATCATGAAACAAACTTTATCAACTTACGTATTTTCTGAGGCCCCTGAACAGGCGATAGAATAATAAGACATATGGGAATTCAAGAACATAGGCATCTCTAATTCTTCTATGAATAGAGTCATTTGTGGAAGTTGTGCATTTGCTCGTTTCATTCGTATCGTTATAGATCATGCCAAAAAGAAAGAAAGAAAGAAAGAAAGAAAGGATAGCCTTAACACACCTTATCCAATTCTATTGACAATCCCTCCAACACACGTTAATTGTGACAAAATATGTGACAGCGGATCGAAGTAAGGAAAAATTCATATGATATTCTTTGAGAAATATTGCACCGTACTCCCTTAGAATTGCAAAATCTCGTTGCTATAACATTACGTAGTCTCCTATGATTTTTTTTGTAGCAAAATCACGTTGCTAACATGAAGTCTTTTATGAATGAGTTTGCTGAAATTCCTTTGTGATTGTAGAGACTTGAAATGAATTTAGAGAGGTTTATTTAAGTCATTGGGTGTGGGCCCCACTTATGTGGTGACTTAGCCATACCAAACCTTCAAAATATGCCACCTTTCACATGAGTTTAAGAGTCACAATTTGGAATTGAGGGGCTGCCATGTAAAGGTTCCTTTGTCTTTATCAAAGACCTTAATTAATCATCCACCAACTCCTTAATCAACTTATTAATTTCCCCATTAATCCAATAATTAACCAATTATTTACATAATTAAGAATTATCTCAAATTACTTAAAATACTACTCACTTGACACACTTTATATATCCTACTATCATGGTCATACGGTACCTCGTATGACACTAGTCCATAAATACCGGGTGTTATAGCTCGGACCGTATTTTCTCGAAATGTCAAGCTTTGACGAAACTTATTTTCTTCGATTTGCTTACCCTCTCACCTTCACGAATTTACTAATCACTTGTTTGAAATAGCATAATACTTATAATCCCAAAATAATCTCATTCCCGAACTTACGTCGATTAACTTATGACGAAACTTTAACATACGAAAATGCGGGATGTAACATCTCATTTCCGAGCTTATATCAATTTACTTATGACATACTTTCATGTACGAAAATATGGGGTGTAAATGTTTCCTCATTTACTGCTTATTCTATGGTCAATTGTTGATATGTGACTTGCTGGGGTAGTTGGTTTGGATCGGGGGATATTTCAGGATGAATTGGGACACTTAGTCCCAAGGTTTGAAGCTTAAGTTGAAAGAATGGACCAGATATTGACTTATGTCTAAACGACTCTGAAATGGAGTTTTGATGGTTCCGATAGATCCGTAGGGTGATTTTGGACTTAGGAGTGTGTCCGGATATTAATTTGGAGGTCCGTAGTTGATTTTGACTTGAAACGGCGAAAGTTAGAAAGTTGAGAGGTTTGACCGAGAGTTGACTTTATGGTTACGGGGCTCGGATTTCTGTTCTGGAAGTTGGAATAGGTCCTTTGTGTCAAATATGACTTGCTTGCAAAATTTGAGATTAATCGGAGTTGATTTGATAGGTTTCAACATCGATTATAGAAGTTGGGATTTCTTAGTTTTCGTTAGGCTTGAATTGAGGTGTGATTCGTATTTTTGATATTGTTTGATGTGATTTGAGGCCTCTAATAAGTTCGTATTGTGTTTTAGTACTTTTTGGTATATTTGGTTGAGGTCCTCGGGGCCTCGGTAGATTTCAGATGGTTAACAAATCGAATTTGGAACTTAAGGCATGGCTGTGCAGACTTGGACTGGTGTGATCGCACCTGTGAAAGTCATGGTCGTAGGTGCGTGGATGGCATCGCAGAAGCGTCCTGGAAGGAACTGGCAGTGGTCGCAGGTGCGATGATTTTGTCCGCACCTACGAGGTCGCAGATGCGGCGTATAGGGCCTAGAAGTGGAGCTAAATGAGGAGGCTTGGGAACGCAGGTGCGGAGGAAGTTCCGCAGATGCGGACTTGCATCTGCGCATGTGTTATCGAAGAAGCAAAGGCAGGTCCTTCAGGGGAAACCACAAAAATGGAGGAATTGTCTGCAGATGCGAGACCGCAGATGCAGTTAAGTGGGTCGTATGTGTGAAAGCACTAGCACTATACATTTCGAAGGGTTTCCGAGATTTTATCATTTTTGGATTTTGAAGTTGGGTTGGAGGAGATTTTTGCAAGGGATTCGAGGGGTTTCTTGAGGTAAGTCACTTTTGATCATTTTTATGCAATAATATTGTTTCCCCCATTGAATGTTCCACCTAATTTGTGTGTTTCTTAGGTGGAGTTTTGGGAGTTTTGGGCTAGAGGTTGGAGAGTTAAATTTGAGGATTTGAGTGGCGATTTAGTATCAGAATTTGGTAAATTTGGTATGGTTGGACTCGTGGTTGAATGGGATTCCGAATTTTGTAACTTTTATTGGATTTCGAGATGTGGGCTCGGGGTTGACTTTTGACTTGACTTTTTGCCTTTTGATTGTATCGAATTGTTTGTGGCTAGATTCGAGGCATTCGGAGGCCGATTCGCGAGGCAAGGGCTTGTTGGATTAGAGATTTGCACGGTTAGAGGTAAGTAACACTTCTAAACTTGGTTCTGAGGATATGAACCCTGAATTTACGTGCTTTGTGATTGGTGTTAAGGTGGCGCGCATGCTAGGTGAGGGGCGTGAGGGCGTACCATAGTAATTATGGTTCAGTCGATTTCGTGGAACTGTGTAGTTATCTTACCTGAATATTATTAATGTACTCTATGTGTTAGAGCATTTGAGTTGTGATTCATGTTAGAAATCACGTTTAGGCTATGTGCTGGTGCTATTGAGACCCACAGTGGTCGTTCTTTGTTGTTGAGTTATTTGCTTAATTGCAGTTATGTACTCAGTCGCATTCATCATTTCATATCATAGCTCAGTCTATGTTATCATACATTGTCACATCATGTATCATTGATTTGGGCTGATTAGCATGAGTGCTGTGTGCCTGAGAGACTTGAGAGATTGATGACTGAGTGAGACGGAGGACCTGTTTATGAGTGATATTGATGGGATCGGGCTGCACGCCGTAGCGGGTACTATTGACTCATGATGGGATTGAGTTGTACACCGCAACAGGTATTATTGATTTACGATGGGATCGAGTTGCGCATTGCAGCAGGATTTATTAGCACTTGGGTTGGATATGCCCTTCCGGAGTCTGTACACCACGGTGAGCGTAGTTAATATTGATTCATGATGGGATCGGATTGCACGTCGCATCGGGTTCTGTACAGTGCTGAGTGATTGAGTGTGATGAGTGAGAATTTAGACAGTCAGGTTGAGCATTCCGAGAGTGAGTTTCTCTGAGATACTATTGTCATATTTTTCTGTTAATTTCCATACTGTTTAATTCTGTATTTGGACGGTATTGTTCGGGTTCGTCATTACTTTCAGTTCAATGGTTAGACTTGTTACTTATTGAGTTGGTTGTACTCACGCTACACCCTGCACTTCGTGTGCAGGTCCAGTATTTCTGGACACGGTGGTTGTTGATTTTTTGGAGTTTCATCAGTCGGAGATTATCGAGGTAGCTGTCATGGCGTCCGCAGACCTTGACTCTCCTCACTTATTTTTTTTGCTTTGTTTATGCTGTTCTACTTTCTTAGACAATGTTTCAGTTGTTAGACCGTGTTATTACATAGATGCTCATGTACTCCGTGACACCCGGATCTTTTGGGAAATTCTGTATTGAATTGTGGCATTTTCATTCTAATTTTATGAGATTTTATTTACTTAAACCTATTTTTGTATATTTTGAATTTAAGAAGTTAGTATTGTGTGAGTTGTCGGTTTGCTTAGTATCATTATAGGCGTTATCACGGCACTAGTGATTTGGGGTCGTGACACTAAGATAAATACCTTAATTAATGGTATAACCGAATCCTTTAATGAAAAGACATTAATCATGATATGTGAGAGTTTTAGGAGAAAATATATGTAATTTGTGAAGAACACTCGGTGAATTTCTAGTAATAACAAACTTTAGTTAAAGTGAATAAATAAATTTGAGTTTTAGCATATATTTTTCCGGAGCGCAGAGGTCTTAATCTTCAGAAATCTAAGCGAGAACTTGTACCACGTGTCTTCTTTCCATTAGCTAATGGAGTGAGCGTTTCGATGGGAAACGACGCATTTTAGATTTTAGGCGGGGACTTAGCACTTAACAGAAAGGAAACGAACCAAAATAGACCCTGCCAATTGCCATAACCCAGAAAGGATAACACAAGATATTTATTTCTATCAATCAAAACCTCTCTGAGCTTCTCTTCTCCAAAACCTTGAAATTTTTAAATTAAAGTTTTTCCATCCTTATAATTCATCCTTCTCTTCTCAAAACTTGGCAGATTCAATGTCGTTTGGCTTTCCATAAATTACTCCTTTTTCTCCATTATAGGAAAAGAGAAAATGAACATGCCGGCGGTTTGTCGTGTTAGTATTCTTTCCGTGTCACCACAGTGTAGTTCGTGCTGTTACAATCGGCTCCAGCCTTTGCTTTCTTCCCCGTCAGCTGGTCCTCTGAAACATAGTATTAATTTTCCTACTAGAAACTCCTTAAGGTAAACATGATGTATGCTGGCACAATCAAATTAAATGTTTGAAATAGTCTTTGTCTCTTCCTGCTCTAATATCATGTTTAATTACTTGTTTGATACTATGTTGAATAATGTGAATTACTTGCTTTAAATTATGGCAAGTCTGCTATATATTTGACGTTTTGTTCTCTTTTCCGGTAACATTAGATTTGTCGCTCGCAATAAAGGAAGCTTTCTTTGCAGATCGACTGAACCGGATAAAAGTGACGACAAGGTTTCTATTCTTTCTTTTAATTAATTCTCTTTGTTTAACTACAGTCAGTTTGAAATTAGAGCTTATAGTTTTTGTTATAATCCAAAATCCAATTAGTCATGATGGCACCTAACTCAACCCGCTAGGTAAGCCAATTAAATAATAATATTGATGTAAGTCAAAGATGAGATAACTGAAATTTAAACAACTCTCCAAGGACTGGTAGTACAAATCATGAGCTTTTATGATTTAGAGTTTACAAAGCTAGTGTAAAATAAATACATCATCTGTCCGATTTACACATAAACAAATCTTTCATAAGTCTAGAGCTACCATGAACAAGAGGCAGCTATAACCGGAACACAGGTACGTCTTCAATGCTAGCTTCCGTCATACACAACAACGTCAACATCCAAATCTGCACGCAAGATGCATAAGTGTAGTATGAGTACAACCAACCCCAAGTACTCAATAAGTAGCAAACTTAACCTTAGGTTTAAAGTAGTGACGAGCTAGAATAGAGGTCGGAGTCCAACACCAATAGCCAACAACCGTTCATAGCAAAATAATAATAATGGTACAAGAAACATTATAAGATGCTCAACTCGTTCATAGTTCCGGAAAAAATAAGCATGCTTTTCAAGTATATCAGTGAAAACCCAATTCTTTTACCGAAATCACCAAAAATATGAGTAAGTTTGAAAACTGTGATTTTTCCCAAAAACATCCACCAACAGGTAAGATGTTCCATTATCAAGTGACATGAGGAAAGTACATCTCTATGCCTGCATATCAAAGTATGCATGCCAACTGTAATACAATGCAGTGATAAAACCATATGCATACTCTCGGTGTATCAATGTACTCAGTCCTCACAATCACTCAATCCTCCCAATCACTCGGCACTCGCGCTCGGCGCTCGGGCTCAGTAGGTACCTGCTCTTACTCTGGGTGTACAAACTCCGGAGGGGATCCTTTAGCCCAAGCTCTATAATAAACCAATCATGGCGTAAATTAATAACATCTGTTGCGGCGTGCATCCCGCTCCCATCATAAATCAATAATACCTGTTGCTGCGTGCAACTCGATCCCATCAATATCCTTACAATCAGGCCCTCGGCCTCGCTCAGTCATCAATCCCTCCAATCTCTTGGGCTCACAATGTCATGAAGATCAGCCCAAAAATAATGATGTGATATATCAATAAATGGTAAAAGAGACTGAAATATGATATGCATATGGATGTGTATGACTGAGCATGTAATTGCAATGTAAGCAAATAACTCAACAGCAGAAATGACCTCATCGGGTCCCAACAGGATAAACATATAGCCTAGACATGGTTTCTAACATGGATCACAACTCAATAGCTCTAGTACGGAGAGATTTCATGGTTACACATAAGATCAGGTAACTACACAGTACCACAGAAATAACGGAGTCACATTTTACACGGTGCACGCCCACACGCCCGTTACCTAGCATGTGCGTCACCTCAACGCCAAACACATAACACGTAATTCGGGGTTTCATACCCTCAGCACCAAGTTTAGAAGTGTTACTTACCTCGAACAAGCCAAATCCAATACCGAGCAAGCCAAACGATGCTCCAAAAATGCCATCTTGTACGTACCGACCTCCGAACGGCTAGAAACTAGCCAAAAGCAACTCAAATACATCAAATAATGCCAAAGGAAATAAACTCAATCGATAAAGGTCGAATCTCTAATCAAAAGCCCAAAATCAACCCAAAAGTCAAATCCAGGCCCGCGCCTTAGAACCCGACAAAACTCACAAAATCCTATAACCCATTCAATTACGAGTCCAACCATACTAGTTTCACTCAAATCCGATTTCGAATCGATGTTCAAAACTCAAGAGTTCGCTCTATGTAACTTTAGTAAAAAACCCTCAATTTCTATTTTGGAACCCTCAATCAAATGCCAAAAAGAAGATAGATTCGTGATATAAAATCAAAAATAAGTAGAGAACACTTACCCCAATCCACATGGTGAAAATTGCTTCAGGAATCGTCTCAATCCGAGCTCCATAGCTCCAAATTTATAAAAATGGCTGAAACCCCCGAAATAGAGTACTTTATAATCACTGGACGAATCAATGAATCGCGATCGCGGAAACACCATCGCGATCACGAAGAAGAAAAAGCACTGCCTCAAAAATACCATATGCGATCGCAAACAAAGCTAGGCGATCGCGAAGAACAGGCAACACTGCCTCCAACAAAAGCACTACGCGATCGCGTTATAACTCATGCGAACACGAACAACACTGCCTCACACCTTCGCGAACACGTCCAATATTACACAAACGTGTTGAAGGAATTCTCTAGCCCCAGCTTCTCAACTCATCACTACGCGAACGCGATCTGACTCATGCGAACGCGATGCCTAATCTCCAGAAAAACTACGCGAACGCGAAGAAGGAACTTCTCAACTCCATATCTTCACCTACACGATCGCATCTCTAGCTTCGTGATCGCGAAGAAGACTTGGTGCACCAGACACCAGCAGGAACCGGCAAGGCCAAAATAAAGGAAAATGATCTGAAACACGTCCACAACCCACCCGAGCTCCTCGGGACCCCGTCCGAACATACCAACAAGTCCCATAACATAACACGGACCTACTCGGGGCCTCAAATCATGCATACCAACATCGAAACAACGAATCACACCTCAAATCAAACTTAAATGAACTTTGAACTTCCAAAACTCGCGCCGAATCACATCAAATTAATCCGAAATGAACTCAAATTTTGCACACAAGTCCCAAATGACATAACGAACCTATTCAAATTCCCGGAACCACAATCTGAATCCAATATCATCAAAGTCAACTCGGTCAAACTTATGAACTTTCTAAACCTTCCAATTTCCAACTTTCGCCAATATGTGCCGAAACCTTCTAGAAACATCCAAATGCAAATCCGAGCATACGCCCGAGTCCAAAATCACCATCCAAATCTAACAAAACCATCAAAACTCCAATCCGAGGTGAAATACTAAAAAGTCAAACTTGGTCAACTCTTCCAACTTAAAGCTTAAACCATGAAATTTATTCTTCCAAATCGATTCCGAATAACCTGAAAACCAAAATCGACGATTCACACAAGTCATAATACATCATACGGAGCTACTCATGCCCTCAAACCACCGAGTGAAGTGTACATGCCCCTCCCAAGAGCGGGTTCAGTTTACCGAGTTGTCCGAGCTCGAGTCAGGATACTGCCTTTGAAAAGCACAGATGCCGTTACAAGTGTTCAAGATAGTTAAAGAGTTGAGGGATATTCCTCCCTATGAGAACCCACTACAAATAGTACCCTTTATGCCTGAGATTACTTGGTATTTAAGTTACTAGGTAGTGAAATCGGGTCGTTACAGTTTTGCGTTTGCCACGAATTATATGATAACTTGGTCCCTAGTTCTTAGCTTACTGTTATTTATTTTGTATTTTAAAGGATGAAAATTTGGACAAGGAAGCGGATGGGGTAAATCTGAATGACTCTGTAGCAGATAAGAGTCTTGAGCTGAACTCTCGAACTGATCAGGTTTGATTCAATTCTCAATCATTTCATTTCATTTGCTAAAAGACAATGTGAAAAAAAAGTAATGGAAAACTACTAGTGAATGGAAAGTAATTTTGTAGTTTTTTGGTATGAAATACTTGGGATCAGGACAAGGATCAAACAATGGGGATGTTGGAGAATCCAAGTCTAGAAAATAATAATGGAGCTCAAGTGAATGAACAGCCTCGAGTTGAGGTATGCTATGCTTTTTCTTGATAACTCTGGAGGTTAGGTTCTTCATTCTTTATATGTTCCAATTTGCTAGTAACAGGCTTGAAGTGTAATGAAATTTCCCGCTTTCCAACAAATGTAAAGAGCTTGATATATCACATATATTCATCTTCAGTTAAAGAGGATTGGTCGTACCTATCCAATAGTGAAACGTAATTAATAAAATTGCTTGAATATCACATATATTCTGTGGTGTCGCTGGACATTTCTGAGATAATAGAGAGTTTGTCAAAATCTCCTATCTAATCACTCTTTTGGTCACCATACATTGCTTGGAGCCATCATTGTCTGTCAAGCATTGCCTTTTGGTGAATTAATTTTCATTCCTTTTCTTTTTTTCGTCCATCTGGTCCAAGTGTTTGTACACCATACATGGAAAGAATTAAAAGGGGATAACTCTGTGAAGTATCCATTCTTATTTTTGACTCTGGTAGTCATAAGCTGTTTATATATATATGGGGTCATATGGCTCCTGTACCTTTTTGGGAGAGGGGAGGTAAGTGGAATCATCTCTCTTCTTGTGTGAATGGTCAAGCCTTTTGAGAATAACCTGACAGTTTAGGTAGACGCAGTTTCATCTCTTCTTAGAGTATAATGCTCCTCAGACCCCCTTCAACATTTGTAATGCCTGATATCCCTCTCCCGATGCTACAGTGACTCAGCTTTTACACATATATGGTTACAGACATTTTCAACAAATTTGTAATCACTTTCTTGGAGCTATTGATAGTTTGCTCTGTCACTGGGTGTGAGCATTTCAATTTCAATTTATTCACCTCACATTTAGGCCTTGTGTTGATGCAGGATGGTACTGAGGTTCAAGTTGCGAGTGGATCACCTCTTCCAGGTGTGAAGGTGGTAAATTTTGCAACATTAGGTTGAATATTTTTGGATTAATTGTTTACAGTTTGTTTCTCTATCACGGTTCTCATGTTGCCTTTTGGCTGTAAAGTTAATCTTTTTCTTATTGTTGACACTATTCATGGGCAGCCTCTGCAACTTGATGAATCAACCAGGATTCCCAAGGAAACAATTGAAATTCTCAGAAATCAAGTTTTTGGTTTTGACACCTTTTTTGTTACAAGCCAGGAGCCATATGAGGTGAGCGATTTGCTGGAAATCTTATTTTCTTGCTCATATAAGAAAATCCGAGTCAAACATGAGCCATAATTTAAAAGTTCGAAACTTTTACATTTAATTTAGATAGAGCCATAAAAACCATTAAACTAGTACGGGTATCCTCTCAAGCGAGTGATCATGGGCTTGTTGTTTCTGTTCTTGGCTTCTTGGTGCAAATGAATCTTGATGCGCTATCTTTGGTGGTTCTTATTTTTTTGAAGCTTTTATAACATGCTTTTATAGGGTGGAGTATTATTTAAAGGGAATTTACGAGGACAGGCTGCAACAGCTTATGAAAAAGTATCAAAGAGAATGCAGGTTGCTGAAGTTCCCTCGTTTTTCTCCAATTTAAGTTGGATATCACCATGGTCTCTTACTATTTCAAAATGGCACTTCATTAACAGGACAGACTTGGAGATGTATATAAACTTTTTCTTTTAAACAATCCAGAGGATGATAAGCCTGTGGCAGTTGTGGTCCCAAGAATGACCCTGCAACCTGAAACTACAGGTACTTTATTCAGCATTCTTCGTAGGCTTCAATTACTAGTGATAATGACAAGGGGAGATACCTGCGTCAAACATATAGATTTGGAGCTTTTCGTTGTTGAATGGTAACCCTGCTTGTTTGAACACTGCAGCTGTTCCAGAATGGTTTGCAGCGGGGGCCTTTGGACTCGTTACAGTATTCACTTTACTTCTTCGCAATGTGCCGGCTTTACAATCGAACTTGTTGTACGTACCATATTAACGCCATAACTCTAATTTTACCTTTTTTTAATGTGTACTTGAGTTCATCACTATTGAAAATGTTGGTTTATGTTTAGTTAACAATGGCATGCTGAAAATGTTGGTTTATGTTTAGTCAACAATGGCATGCCAATTGGAAGAGTTGGTGGAAAGAGTTGGTGTGGATGCTAGGAGGAAGCTTCCTCCCTTGATGTCACCCATGACATCAAGAGGAGGTAGTTTGATGTCACCAATGACATCAAGAGGAGGTCTTTACCTCTATAAATAGATGCACTCCTTCACTTGTAGAAATCATCCCAAAATAATACAATACATTGTAGTGAGTAGAGAGTTAAGAGAGAAATTCTCTTAAGTGTAATTGGGAAATCTCCCCTTCCTTTGTTAATATTAAAAGGGCAATTGTTCTCTGGTGGACGTAGGATTATTTTGATCCGAACCACGTTAAATCTTGTGTTCTTTCTTTTACGTTTCCGCTAACAATCACTGGCTTTTCATTTGCTTCGAGCTCAACTAGAGCTTGGTACTTAATGTCCAATTTAATTTTGTCATTTTCCAAGACTAATATAGCTGAATTATGGAATACTGTTGTGATGTTTCATATTAATCTGCTATTATGTACAAGATTAATGCTTTTGTACAAGGAGTTTGAAAATACAAAATTATTATGTAACTCATGGTTGTCTTCTTTTGTTCTCTCTTTTCTTTTTAGTTCGAAGTGCTCATCCGTTATTTACAGGATTCTTAACAAGTTTTATCTGAATTCGCTCAAATTGCAGTAAGTGAAAACAGAAGATATCTCATTTATAACAAACTATCAGGAAATCTGTTTATGTGAGATAATTTCATGCTGTCTGATTGCATGTATTCTTTTTAACTTGTTTCACCTAAATGCTCAAGTGCTAAGATAGAATTTTATTTTCCCAGATCAGTTGTTGACAATCTTGACCTGTTGAAGGATGGATTACCTGGAGCTCTCATAACTGCCTTTGTTCTGGGGGTTCATGAAGTTAGCCATCTTTTAGTTGCCAAAGAGGTTGGCGTTAAGCTCGGCGTTCCATATTTTGTTCCTAGTTGGCAGGTAAGGTGCATAGGTTTCATGCAGTTAAACAACCTTTTGCGATATAGTCTTGGTTATTTTGAGACCGCATATTGACAATATCTTTTGGGGGTTGAAATCATTTCATAGCTGCCAAACTATGAGACGTATAGTTGCAGCTTTTCTCAGATCAGCTGATAAGATATCCTTGTTGGGTCAGGAATGCATCTATTTTTCTACTGCACCTTATCTTTTGGGAAGATTTAGTTTTGTATTGTATAGTTTGCTGTTTCCTTATAACTTCGGGTCAAACTGATGTTGTTGATGGACTTTTTAACGCACCAAAATTTTCAATGGCATAAATTTATTTTTGATGATTATTCGTATCATTTAGTCTTGTCATCACTAGTTGCAACTATTAGTAACGTCCTGTCCTTTCTTGGGTTGGAGTTGGGTATTATTAATCTGACCTCATTTGATGTCTCTCTTTATAATACTTGAGAATGCTCAGTGTCAACCAGGGACAGTTTCTTTCCTAATACAATGGTATGAAATTACTGATGTCTTGCACCACCTGTAAGCCACTATTAACTTTTATTTATGGTTATCCAAGTCGTTAGTCTTAGCATCACTAGACACAACCTTCAGCAAGGTTGACATTGTTTACTTGTGTGAATTTCTACTCTTGTTTTCTTTTTTGGCAAACGGGTAGTCTTGTAAATTTCAATTGTTTTCATATGTTAGATTTATTTGTCAGAGATGACAATGCACAGTTTCATCTAGGGATTACTTCAACGAAGGTTCTATAAGTGTTCAAGAATCTTTTTAAAATGAATCAAGACCTTCTACAACCCTTGATAAGAGAATGTTTAAATTCATCATATTTAAAAGTTTGACACTGTTGTCAATTCTCTATATTCTCTTCTATCTTCTACTGCTTCAGGAAGACAGTGCATAAGTTCACCAACTCGCTTGAAAAAGTCAAGGCATATTTGTCAAATTCTCACTATCTTGTTGATTTTAATTAGAATCTTACTGATCTGTGGTAATTCTTAATGATTGTGGAAAAATGGCACCAGTTTAGTAGCAATTTACTAAATATAATATGAACTAAGTGTCATAGCCTATGCATCTGCCTCATTTCAGTAGTCGAACCAAGTCAGGCCATAGACCTAACTTTTGCGCTAATAGACACTTAATCACTAACTTTAGATCTTCTCTCAAAGATGATATACTGAAGTTGTAATTCAAATTCTGGAATTACTCTTCTGGTAAGTGCTGTTTTGTTTACTCTAATATAAAGCATTCAAATTATTTATCTAGACAGCGAACATATGTATTAAAAGAGGAGTACTCTGCTGTTGGATGGGATTCAAGAGGCAATACATCGGTTGTTTATTAGAATTACTTCATATTGTAATTACTCTTGTACTGGAGAAATTTAAGAGCTTTTGGATAACTTCCCTATGAAAGAAGGTTACATGCAATGTTTATTCGGTTATAGTATGATTTGTTATAGTTCTTGGGGGGCTGCTTTCATCATTTTTCATCTTATTTCGTTGCAAGAATACTTTTAGCTGTTGTCCTTCCTAAGTGCGTCCTTGATTAGCTCCTGTATTTTCCTTCTTCAATTCTTGTTCAATGCTGAATTTTGATTGGTGCTCATGTGACTCATGTCTAATGAGCTGTTTTGGTGGCAGATAGGCTCCTTTGGTGCTATAACAAGGATTGTAAATATTGTACCAGAGCGTGAAGATCTCTTGAAAGTTGCAGCAGCTGGACCATTAGCTGGGTTCTCGGTGGGCCTTATTCTTTTGCTTTCAGGATTCATCTTACCACCTACTGATGGCATTGGCATCATCGTCGATCCCTCTGTGTTCCACGAATCATTTCTAGCTGGCGGTATAGGTAAGTACTTAGCTTATATAGTTTTCTCCTGCTCGCTCAACAGACTATTCCTCATAAGCAGTTCTTGTTATCTTTCCTTTACTTGTGTATTCTACAAAGACTAAGCCACTTTGGTTCTTCCCTTGTAGCCAAGCTTCTTCTAGGAGATGCTCTCAAGGAAGGAACTCCTATATCAGTAAATCCGCTTGTCATATGGGCCTGGGCTGGACTTCTCATTAATGCTATCAATAGTATTCCTGCAGGAGAGCTCGATGGTGGCCGGATTGCCTTTGCCATGTGGGGTAGAAAGGTAATTCCAACATCATCCTGCTTAGTCTAGCAAGTCGTAAAAGAGGAACTAACTAATGGATGTCTAAGAAATAGAAGTGTAAAGATGTGTTTTATAATTGGGCCTTAATTTTCATCTGGCAGGCTTCAGCTCGCCTCAGTTCGTTATCTATTGGGCTTCTCGGGATATCTGCATTGTTTAGCGATGTAGCATTCTATTGGGTAGTGCTAATATTCTTCCTCCAAAGAGGGCCTATCTCTCCACTATCAGAAGAAATCACTGATCCTGACAATAAATACATAGCCCTTGGAGTTGTAGTTCTGCTCTTGGGCCTGTTGGTTTGCCTGCCATATCCCTTTCTCTTCTCTAATGAAGCTGCCACTGGTTTCTAGACCAAAGTAGATTCAACATGTTTTTGGCTCTTGGTTTACATTAATTAGTTAAGTAAATAAATTGTGCACGGAAGATGTCACTCTCTTTTAGTTGTCTCGGCAGTTTAGATTGTAGAATTCCATTGATGCAAAATGATATAACACTAGTTTTGCCTCCAAAATCTGGGTAAAATGTATAATCTGGAGATGTAGGATTTCGCAAGCCGCCAATGATCTTGTGTTATTACTTCAGAGGAAAAGAACTGATACACTTGTGTAAATTTATGCACTATAAAAAGATATGAGAGGTTTCTTTTTCCCTTTTTTTTTTCCCAAAACCAATGCTGGTATGTTACATCTATTCTTTCTTATTAGTTTTTCTCTGCTATATACTATGTTGGTTGATTTCGGATTTCCCCACTGTTATAACTGTTGGTATGGAAGCAAGCATTAACTAAGGCTTGGCAATAGTTAAGTATAGGAGTATGGTTGAAGGAAAGGTAGGCTGACAGTTGAGCACAGTTAATGGTAGAGATTCTTCCATAATTAAGGGTTGGTCTTGTAGGTTTGCTAGTCAAGACAGTTGCACATTTCCTATTCTATTCACTGTATCCTAATTCCATTTATTTGGGGTTCAGTACCCCACAAGGTCTGCTAACTTGTGATTTTTAATGGAGTGATCACAAACTGTACAAGTAATGACCACGTTCGTTTGCTAATTCTGTAATCAAGTAATTTCACAACTTTTAAAAGCGGATACAGAATGAAGCTACTAGTTCTAATAATGGAATTTAACATGTAATGCCTGAAATTTGAATCTACAACCTAAAATAGTTTGAGCCAACTTACGACTACATTGCAATTTTTTCCTAGATTCAACGATATCAATTGAACTCCCTTCGGACCATGTAGTTCTGCCCCTGCCTTAGCAAATTGCCCCATGCACTGAGAAAAAGTCTTTTCCTGTTCATACAGCCACCTTACTTGAGCTTATTACTTAAAATACTAATCAGTATGGTGGAGGATTCATAGTACTAGTACACTATTATTTTACTATATCAGCATCTTTTTTACAGTGCACATGTGGACTGTTTTTGGTGGAAGTTTGATTGCTGATTGAATTCATGAATGATAGACTTGATTGGTCACAATGGACATGTCTAGAGATTGTTCAATTATCCACCCAAGCGGTTGCATTGTTGAACTGGTCCAGCACCAGCAATATATGGTTGTACTCTATTCCTGTAAAATACTGATTAGTATTTGAAGGACATGATATCCCAGTTCCAAAATAGAGCAAAACAACTTAAACTGAAAAAAAGAAAAACAAATACTAGTGTGGTGAAATCAAGCGTAGGGGACATTCCGACTCTCAACTATCAACTACAACTGGTTGGTCGCTAGGCAATCTTCTGAGAAGTGACAGTGAGCCATGAGATGCACCATAAATTATCCATAATTGAACCCATGATTGACTGACTAGTTAGTTCTAACGCTGGATTTTTAATTACTTCTACCGGCATTTGTGGAATGGAGAAGACATTGACCATTTATTGAAGTAAATGCCTCATGTATAAATAATAATTTGTGCCCCTTTGGTTGAAACAAGAGAGTGCTGTCCAACAGCAAAACACATGGATATATTGTCAAGGGATTTATGTGATGTTACTAATTTATATCTTCATACATATTAACCTATAATTACTTGATCTATTTGCACTACTTAATAATTTCTACATAGTACATAAAACTTAAAATAGTTTACCCAATTATTCTCTCTTTTTTAATTTGTGTGATATTATTTTTTTAGTCCGTTGTAAAAGAATGATATGTTCTCTATATTTAAAAATAGTTTAATTTTAAACTTCCTATTAACCTTAATGACAGAAATTTATGGCGACACAAATATCTTAATTCTTTCCCTTAAATTTCGTGCTTAAATCAACAAAGTCACATAAAATGAAATGGGAAAAGTATTTATAATCGCACATTCATGATCTTTCTGTGAAAGCTACTATCTCGAGATACTTATCAGTTACGTTTGATTCTAATTGCTGCATAGGATAAAATTTGTTTTTAATAAATGATCGAACGATTGCATGACACGTGGAATTGAGGACAGGTAAAAAGCGAATCAAGTAACAACCAACATCGGGAACAATAGTTGTTATTGGCGTCGGATAAACCCCGAAGGGAGCACGGTCAACAGGAGCATATCAAATATTTGCCATCGGATATCGTTCAATGAAGAATATTCTCTAACATTAAATGGGCAGTCGTTGCAGAGAATATTTGTATTCATGGTCCGCCGTTACATATTCATCAATGACGCCTTTATTGACATTTAAGTGGGGCTTGATCCTAAGATCTTGTTTTCCTAAGTATAGCTATAAATAGCAGGCTCAGTAGCAATTGTGAGACACGAAATTCTTGGCAAAACTTATGATGTATTCCATTCTCACTCTCAATTTAATAACTTTATTTGCTCTTTTACATTGTTCTCATTTCTGTCCTCAGAGACGCTGCTCTCGGAGTATGATTACCATCTTCTTTAATTTTAATCGCTAAGTCTTAGTAATAATCTTATTTTTTATCATTTTTGGATTAGATCAGTTCGCTTGTCTATAAACCACGTAACAAATTCAAATGTATCATTTTACGAGTAAATAGTTTGACGTCCACCGTGGGTTTATATAGTTGCGTAATTGAGTTGATCCTTGTGTTTATTACTAACTAGTTTGATTTTTTCCTTAGCAAAAAATCGAAAATGGAAGCCAATGATGTCAACATCGCACACAACGTTGAGGGGCACAAAAATTTGCCTCAACATGACGAATCAATTAGCGACATCCGTAATGAAGGGGACGAGGCAACCCCGGTTCGTGAAGGGTGGTACCCGGCATATACCGGAACCAACTCCCGATGACGCGGAAGAGGAACACATTTTGAAAACAGTAAAAATTCAGAGAGAGCAACAGAAAGCCATCATGGGACACCTCTCAAGGCAGGATCAGGTGATAACGGAGTTGAAGCAAGCATTGTCAGGTTCTTCCTACAATGCAAATGGAAGGGGCCCGATTCCTCTCGGCGTTTCTGAAAATCGAACTACACAAAGAGTTGATAACAATACCCGAGGGATGAGGTCGGTTTCGATGGTACCGGGGGGACCGTGTCACGACCCAAACCGAAGGGCCACGACGGGCACCTAGTACCTTGCTCAATCGAGTACCAATGTAACATATCTTTCTTATCGTACTATTATGGGTAAATGGGCCAAAAAGGTCGTCATGAGATAACCAGAATAAAGCAGAAGGAAATACTAGACATAGGACGACCCAACATGATATAGAAACTTATACATGTGACATACGGGCCTATAAGGCTGACATGATCATTTGTAAACTCAAAACATAGGCCGACAAGGTCATACAAGTATCCATATACATTACATATGTCTACAAGCCTCTAAGAGTACATAAACGTTATAAAGGTCGGGACAGGGTCCCGTCATACCAATCAATACATGTCCAAATCATACTGACCAAATAGGCAATTCCGGAGCAAGTGGAGTGCACCAACACCTTTCGCTTAGCTGATAGCCTACTAGGAGGATTGTCAACCTGTCTATCAGGATCTACGGGTATGAAACACATTGTCCCAGGCAAAAGGGACGTCGGCACAAATAAAGTACCGAGTATTTAAGGCATGAAAAGCAGTATATAAAAGACATGAAAGAAACATGGAGTAAAGGACTCAACCTGTAAGTCTAAATAGCTCTATGAATCATGAAACATTTATAATGTCATGCATGTGCATACAAATGTCATATCATACATAGGTATATGCCTACATAATATCATTAAACTTCTGAGGGCATCCCATCATATCATCTCGGTCTCTATTGGCGAAATCATCAACGTATACCAGCTGATCAGGTGGTGGTGCATATATAACGCCATAACATTTTCCAATACCCCATATACATATATTATACGTGTATATAACGCTATCTGGTCAATAAATGCAATGTATAATGAAGTAAGTCAATAACATCTCTCGGAATGTAATGAGACCCATGAACATGCGATATGATAGTAGGACACATGGGGAATCAAGAACATATGCAACCCTAGTACTTCTAAGAATAGAATCATTTGTGAAAGTTACGTGCTTGCTCGCTTCGTTGTATCATATGAATCATGCCAAAAGGAAAGAAGAGATAGTCTTAACATACCTCAAGTCGTCAATGCAACTCAACAACAAGCTTACGACAACTAGCGTTCCAACCCTATAACAAAGAAATACATGTAAACTTTTGATGGCACTAGTATACCACGTATCTCAACCGATAACTCGATTCTAAAATAAAACGGGCAACATTTCCCCTGATTTTACTGCTCCCTCAAGCCTACTATAGGTGAGACAACAACACAATACAACCAGCAACTCAAAAAACAACCCAATTACAATTTGGGACCTTTAGTACAACAAAAAACCCAAACATACCATAACACACCCAATCAACAAGTTATTAATTAGCCTGAAAGTGCAAAGAGAGCGACCAGCCCATTACCCTACCACACATGAATTTTCTCCACGCTTTTTATCCTTCCAAACTCGATAAATCAGCAGCACAATAGGCCAACATGAGTGGACTATAAAACAGTCCACTAAAACTGAAATAAATTGAACTCACGGCTTCCGATCACTGTCCCGTGAGTTCTAACTATTAGGAAAGAATTTATCAACCTTACTTGCTATTTAAACGCTTAAATACAAAAAGTAGGCAGTTTCTTAACTATGAATTACCTTCCAAAACTCAAACTACAAGGAAAAAGAGAGGCGATATAGCGATACTTACGTCGTAGGGATCGTTCTAATGTTATCGCTTCTTGATTTCGTACCCGGGATGTTAATCTTCTTTGAAACCCTCGTAGAGAGTTTAAGGCCTCATTTGTTTTTTTTTAAATTAAGGCGTCTGAATCTGAATACACATCTGAATATCAAGATGTGTATTAAGATTAAGACATTTGAATCTGAATGCACATCTGAATATATTAAGATGTGTATTAAGATCTGAATACTATATAATTAAGACTGTTTAATTTTTAACATTTGAATGTATAAAATTTATTTTTATTTGAAAATTAATAAATATAAAATTCAAATGAAATACTAACTAATCTAATATTCTATCAATAAAATATATAGTTTTTAAAAATATGATAGTTGTTGGTGGTGATGGCTAACGGGTGAATGCCGACTAGATGCGGTGGTTGGTGGTAGTTTGGTTGATGATGGTGGTTCATGCTAGTAGCTAGTAG